TTGTACCTCCAAGGCTCTTAATTCAGCTGCATGAACTCACATTGTGAATCTTTAAAATTCAGTTAACAGATGCCTAAAGTCACTTATAATTTCACACAGCACACAACAGACGTACCAATGCTTAAATTCTCTTCAATCTTTCCTAAGAGACAATGGAGTATTTTGGATCAATGGAGATGAGATGGATTCAAGTTGCAGGTCCAGTGTTAATAGTAAATTCAAAACAAGCATCATATATGAACAAAACGAAGTTCATAATAATACCAAAGACAAAAAAAGAAAAAAAGAATATATGTCGTGCGATCTTTCACATCAAAACATTGTTCTTTCAAAAATTAATTCTGACCTACATAATTGTTAGACTGAAAGTATGGTCATTGGAAGGTTGAAGTGAATTCAAAAATAAAAAGCACCTTCACTTCTACTCAAAAGGCATCTTCATGCTATCAATATCCATTGTTGAGAACTAAACCTGAAATACCTGAGCAAGAATATTATGGTGCGGATCATGGTGCAATGGTGTCACTGTCCCAGATGGGCCAAACCAAGCATTGAGCGACCTGAGCTCACCACCACCAGCATAACAATAGTCGGGAATAACAATGTCCTTCCTTAGCTCTTTTATCTGTCATTTCAAAACAAATTTCACAACTAAAATACTGTAATATAAAGTCCTAATGTTACATGCTACACTTCCACCTTATAACATCCATATAATATGGTGTGCTTGCCTGGTCAAACAATGGATGCTGAGCCAAATATGTAGGCACAGAATGGTCATCGGATTGGATCCTCTCTAGAAACTCAGAAAATGTAATTAGCTCTTGCTTCCACTCTGAGGATACATAGTTTTTCCCAACCTGCAAGACATTCCGAATTTCAAAAGTTTTAAAGCATCTATAACATAGGAAAAAGCACCCACAAAGGGGTAAAGAGAAACCCGGAAGATGATTCCATATAACTCCCAAAAATAGGGACTTAAGAAGTCAATCTTCATATTTCAAACAAATTGACACTGACATCTTGGTTCATAGAATCTTGAGAGAATCATGGATGGTCAAATAGGCTAAACCCAGTTGGTATTTATGAAATATTTGTTGACGGCACAATCGCCACACTGCATGATAGGAGATTAAGGAGACAGTTACGGGGGTAAATTATCCTCGTAGTTTGTTCACCTGCTTGTTGAAAGCCTATATCAAACCATCAAAAGAAAAGAAGATATAAGTAGAAGAGACAAAGATAAAAAATAAGTATCTGTTGCTCTCTGATCGTTCATAATTAGAGGTGTTAATCGAGACGAGCTATTCGGGCTCAATTCAGATAAGACTCGGCTTGAACTCGACTAGTGTCCAAGTTAAGTTCGCAAAGCTCGGCTCATTTATATGTAAAATAGTTGAGCTATTCAGGCTCGGCTTGAGTTCTAAATAAGCTGAACTTGAACAATTTTTTAGACTCACTTAGAAAAACAAGTTTGTCAGGCTCAGGCTTGCAAAGTTCGACTCAATTAACACTCCTATTTTTAATAATGAAAATTAAGTGCAAGAGTAAATATAAAACCCTACATTAAAGAAAACTAAGCAATCCCTAATGAAATATGCAAAGCCAACAAATAGTTATAAACTACACACCAAGTTGTTGGTTGTCACCTACTCATCCTCTAGTAGGCCTCACCAAAAAACTCAAAGCCCAATGGGCCGCCCACGGCCCGAAAGCCCAACAGGCTACCTGGCCCGTACAAGTGGCAGAGCTTGGGTAGCCCTCTAGCCCGGTGGGTAGGGCTTGGGCCGTGTTTTTTAGGGCCGGGTGTTCGGCGGACCGGCCCATTAAAAAACCTGTTAACAAGCCCGTTAGCCTGCCCATTAGCCCAATAAAATAATTATAGTGTATATTTCATAATTGTATTGTTTATTTGATAATTAATCTGTAACTTTTATAAGTTGAAACTTACAAATAATTGATACTTGTGTAAGTGTCAACCTAATTAGAATGTACTCAATTTGTAGTGATACAAAATAGTTTCACCCACCAATCAATTTGTAATGTAACATTGTAACTCTATATGAATATTTGTTAAATTTAATCAATATGAATAATTTTTTTGTTAATTTATTTTTTCATACCAACTTCATATAATTGATGTCTGTTTGTATTTTTTATATAAAAAATAAATTTGTCGATGACGTTTTGTATTTTTTTACATAAAAAACCCATTTCAAGCCAATGGACGGGCCTTAGTATTTAGCCCATTTTTGGCCCAATAGGCCTACCCATGAGCCTCAAACGTCCCGTTGACTATTCAAAACCCAGAGGCTTGGCCCATGGCGGACTATGGGCTGAAAAATGTTGGGCTAGGTTGGCCCGGCCCGTTGCCGAGGCCTATCCTCTAGTAAGCTTCTTCAAAATGTCACCTCATTATTGTTAACCCTATACTTGGTTAAACAAAGTTTTAATGATAACAAATATTTTTGTATTACTAATCATCTTCTTGTGAGCTTGTTGAAAGTGTTGCACGGGTTTGATACAAGATGAGAGAGCTTGAAGGTTCAATGTGCTATACTATATATGAAGAAGCAAAAGTGAAGATGTGATGCTTGAAGATGCATATAACGAAGAAAAGTGAACATGGCTAAATAAGGTGATTGAATATAAGAAGATGCAACTACATGAAGAGAATGAGTATCATGGATATAGATTGATTAAAGTAGTTGAAGAACATGGCATGAGAAGCTTCTTCAACAACTTTATCAGTTTGATGTGCATATGAGGACAACTGGAAAAGGTTAAGGATAATTGTTATACGTTCATTATTCAAGTTAATAACTGGATTATCTTGGTTGAAAAAGAAGAGTTGAAAGATCAAGGCAAAGAAGTGAAAGAAACAAGTCAACAAGGAAAAATATTGAAATCGACAATTAACATAGTCTTGGTAATATTAGAATAACTTTTGATAGAGATGTTCAATTGATATGATTCAAATGGAGTTGGCAAGAAGACGTGAAGATCTACAACTTTGTGTGAAATAGAAATTTTGAGATTTAAATGTCTTGAAGGTGAAAGATAACTTAGAGGTTGAAGGTTATGTATGAAGGTTGAACAATCAAGAGTTTCAGATATGTCTCGGTATTTGAGACATAAAGTTCTACTTAAATGTCCAAATGACTTGATTCCAACAAGGTTGAAAAGAAGACATCCCCGTCTACAATTTTGTCAGAAATAGCCTTCTTCAAATTCCAATGTTTTGAGAGGCAAAATCGCATTGGAATAAGGTGACAGTGCACATAACCGGTATGCTGAATGGATGAACCAATATGCTTGTTGGTGAACCGGTATACCTCAATTCTTCCTAATATCTCCCATTTTCAAAGGCTTAAAATGAACCGGTATGCTGATTGGACCAACCGATATGCCAGAATGTATTCGTTGAAGGCTCTAATGACTAGTTTTTAGCTCCTTTGCTTGTCCAATTGCTTCCTCTATGAAAAGGGATTGTGAGGGCTATTGAAGCAAGATTTTTGGGAAGTTCTTGGGAACTTCCTGAGCATTCAAAGTGACATACATATTGAGGAAAATCAAAATTGTGAGATTTGGGCTACAAGGCCAATTGTATTTTTTCTCTCTCTTTGAGTTTATTTGAGTGATTTGTTGCTTGTAAAGAGAGGCAAAAATTATTGTATTGAATGAGTTTCAAGTTATATTGTAAATGTGTGTCTTCACCTATCGAAGAAGACAAGGTTTTACAGGGTTTGATTTTCACCCATGAAAGAGATCGAAATAGTGAAAGGAAAGCTCCGTGGCGGAGGAAAGAGATTACGTAGGCCACCGTGGTTAGGGTCGAACCTCTATAAATTGTGTTTGTTCTTCTTCTTCCTTACTATTATTTAATTGCATTATCTATATCACATTACTTATCATATAAATTGCCTATCATACAATAATATACGTTGCATACTTGGTATGATTTAAAGAAGCCCAAAATTAGTCACACCCTCTCATAACCTAATTCAACCCCCTCTTATGTTACATTTGGGCCAACATTTATGACTTGTGTTGTTACTCCCCCTTTGAAAGGAAAGGAATTGCCAACTTTGGAAGAATTATGCAGCCTTTGGTGCTTTTGTAAGCATACACCCTTGGGCAACAAAAAAAAATGTTGTCTCCTTGCACTGTCTAGGTTTAGGGCCATGATTCAAAGTTGTTGCATCAGCTATCAACTTGGAAGTCATTGATACTCATCGGGTGCGGCTAAGAAATTTGGCATGACAAAAGATTTAAGCTATATTGCTGCATGGCAGATTGACATCGGCCGATCCGGTGACGATGACTCAAAGTCGGCCAATACTTTGAACCATATTTAGGGCTTAATAAAGCCAAGGCAAGGGTATCCTTAGGAGGTGTATGCAGACTTGAACCATTGGCTTTGAGGGGCAATTTTCAAGATTAGGGATGTTTGTGCTGCTAAACCCTAATCTATAAGCGTGTTATAGTAACATTAATTATATTGTAGCAAAAAAAAATCTATAACCTCATTATATAGTATATACCAATGAAAGTGGTACAAATGTAGGATTGGAAGAGAAGGAAAAGAAAGAAGACAACAATAAGGGGAGCTTACCACATCCACACAAGGATTAAGTTAAGAAACACACAAATTCTCCATAATCAAATACTCAACTCAACAAAGCCTTAATCTCAACTATTTGATGTTGGCTACATGAATCATGTTTATTCATTACACTCTATCAAGGGTCCTATGTTCCGTTAAACCATAAGCTATCATTTTTTTTTACTATTTCGTTCACAGTTATTTTAAACCTATCTCTGCCTCTTGCATTACCTCCAATGGATCAAATCGCTCGTCCTTACCGGTGACTGCAATAAACTAATTTTTAATTATATCTTATTGGTGTTACTTTTACAATTTTATGAATATACTCATTTTTAATTCTATTCTTTCTTGTTTTACCACACATCCATATTTTTCTGATAAGTATGTATAAAAAAAATTCCAGTGAAGTGTTCTTTAGCATGTTATTGAGCACGTCATCTATCTTAACATTCTCATTTTTTCAACACTTAGTTTTTGAGCGTGTTATGTCTTAATTGTCCAACATTCCGTCCCATAAAGCATTGCTGGCCTAATGCATGCATTATAAAACTCTCCTTTTAACTTAAGGGGTATACATCGATCACATAATACAACAAATACATTCCTCCATTTATTCCTTTAGACATGTTTAAATCGATACCAATCTCTCTCAAATGCATTCAGAGTTTGATTAGAAATCTATTATAGAGTTTTAGTACGAGAGTAACTTGAGATTTTGATTAGATCACTATTTTGGAATTTTAGAAGAGTGATTTTTATCTGGGTGGGGGGACTTGACCTATAAATATTAATGTAATATCTACTATTTCATGGTCGAGAGTGATATTAATAAAATGATTTCTCTGTGGAGCATCTATGTTTCTTGACCTATTTTTTGCGTTGGTTTGATATCTCTTCTTTTTTGCTTTTACCCTTTCTTTTCTCTACTCTCTTCTCATCCTCATTCTTTATCAAGGAGCTTGTGGTGCAAGGACTTGTTCAACCATTCGTTGATGACCGGTGGATAAAGAAAATAAATCAATATCATCCTTGTTCAAACCCTTGCTGATGGGCAACTTAACTCCCAAGGATAGCAACCAACTTGGTTACATTTTCTTTTATTGAATCCACCAATGCGTGAAGTGAATGTGCGGATGCTCGGAGTGAATCCAGAGTAAATCTATATTAGCATTACGTACCTCATTCTTAGCAAGTAACTTTCAAGAAAACAATCCATATGATCGAAAAGAAATCAAAACATTCGTTTATCTA